CCCCCTTTTTTTTTTTTTTTTTTCTTTCTCTTCTTCTTCTTCTTCTTCTTCTTGCGTTACATCTAATTACCTAATTAATTTTTAGGCAATTCAATAATTAGTGGTATGTTATAAGTTTATGACCAAATGTATAATTTTAATACTTAAAATTAAAATTTAAATATATATAGGAATGGTGATTTCATCAGAAATCCAGTAATTTTAACGTAACTATCACGTTAAATAATTTTGGGAAGTGGGACCGACAAAGAGCAATTTAGTGAGGGTGACGTGTGACCTAGTGTGAGAACACACACGTGTACCTTGTTTTTGTTGGGTACCATTCCACCTCATGTCTACATATTTGTCCACCCATCTTTTTACCGTCGTGGATCTAATATTTTTAAATTGAAATTATCATTCCTTCTGTTACAAATTTACTCCAGTATAGCAATGGAATTATTCAGATACTTACACAGACATAACTGTTTGATTCACTTGATTTTTAAAATGATTAAAAAAAAGTTTTACGATTTTGATAACCATTTGATTTGAAATACGTATCGTATCATGTGATCGTTTCATAAGTACATAAAAGATTGGAATAAGATTTATAGAATTATTTTTCCATCAAAACTCACAAAAATGAGGTTTGGGACACCTTCAATAATGGCTGTTCCATGTGTGACACTCAAAATTTGAACTTCTCCTTCAAGTACACCACTATCTCTTGCTGCATCATATGATAATAATAATAATAAGAAAAACACTTTCGAGTTTGTGTCTAGCAAGTTTGTGTTTAGCAAGAGCGATCATGAACTACCCAACTTAAACCGTTAGAGTTATGTTGGGTTAGAGTTTTTTTTTTTTTCTTGATATAAATTCGGTTAAAATTTTCAATTTAGTTCATATGTGGGAACTTTTTGTCCCACTCAATCAAAAAAATAAAAAATTGCTATGAAAATTAAAATATTTGATCTAGGTAACAAATGTCAATGGTACATTGTGATTTATCATTAGATCCCCACGTCCGTTGGAAAGGAGAAAGAATCTTTGTTTATATAAGAGTGTGGAAACCTCTCCGTACTAGACATATTTTAAAAATCTTGAAAAGAATCCCGAGAAAGTTCAAAGAGGACAACATCTGCACTGCAGTAGGTTTGAAAATTTTTAAATAATTGGAAGATTTTTTTTTTTTTTTTAATAATTAAAAGAAAGCTAAGTCGGGACAAAAGAGTGTTGAATTGGGTTGGATTCGAAACAAGCTATTTTGGTCACTAACTCACCAACCACAATGGGTCTAAATTTTTTTGACCGAGCTTCTGAATACCTCTTCCTAGTAGACAAATTTGTACTTCGGCGAAGGGGAGGACGAAATTGTCCGAACCTTTGTTTTTAGTTAGGTTTAAGTTTGACGAGAATAATATTATACCCCGAGGCATTCATTTAGGTTAAAATAAACAAATTTGTAATTTAACTTGATTAATAGTATTATTGTTTTAAGTATGGATCTAAGATTAGGATCTTGCCTACGAATTATGATCGGATTTTAAAATAATGGAAAAAAAAATATATATTAATAGTAAAACAGAGAGAACTCACTATGAAGCAAAGGAGAAGACATCCAGCGGCACCCGGAAACAGAGCATACCAGAAATTGAGATGCTGCATCTTAGCTCCATCGATGAACATTAGCGGCAAACTTGCAGCTGTTAACATTACAATCAAAAATCAAATTCAATCCATATTCCCAAACACACAGACCACAAATTGAGTGGGGCTTCAATTTAACCTGGTGGGTGCGTCGAACCAGTATAGATCATGAACGCCATGGATGCAGCCAGAGCAGAGCTTCTAGCTAGCCATCCAGGCCCCAACAAAGTAAACGCCAAAACCCCAATTGCCGCACACCCAATCTGGGCCATGAACATATTGTACTTCTGCACCAAAAGAAACCTAAATTTAGTTCTTGGTTCAAAGCAATTGAGCTGTCAGAGATGTGGTGAGTACTCGAGCAGCAGGGGATGAGGGCGCTGCGAACAGGATAGCACAGACGGCTCCTAATGGCGCAATTGTCATAGAAAGCCCTTTTGGCGCTAGAATCTGATCCATTTTCCCCAGCATTGCCATCGCTGCAAATGCCCCTGTTTCATTCATGACAAAACAACGTTACCCATCTCGCAGTTCTTCATCAAATTTCGGTCGAAATTCTCAATTCATAAGGGAGCTTCTCTAACCTGCAGAAGGCCAAAGGATGTCACTGAGGGGAGGAGAAACAAAGCCTTTGTCTGGTTTCGACCCATCTGAAATCGGTGCACGAGCAATGCCGGACGCCACAATACTCCTGTAACCGAATCCACCGCCGCCGCCCCCATTTCGTCTTCTCCTCCGATCGTTGAGTAATAATCCCAACGGCCTAACAGACCCATCTATTGAAACCCCTCGTTTTCCATTCAATAAATGGCAATTGGGCAGCAAAGAAATGAATGAATGGTTTACACGGAAACTGGGTTGATACGGCTGCTGGCCACGGTGGTGAATTGGCTTCAATTGCAGACTCATACTGGATTTTACCCTCGACCCGCCTCCAAGCTTCGATTGTTTGGAGACAAAACAGGGGAGAAGATGAAGACAAAGAAAGAAAGTATGGTAAAAGCCGCAAAACGAAGTTCGAGAAATAATATATTGAAAGGTGAGGCTGACAAAGACACCATCTGGAGGGGTATGGGATTTGGGAAAAGCTGTGAAGAACGCCAGAGGGCTTGAAAAGGAAAAAAAACAGATAAAAACTCGAAGCTGTGTTGCGGAGTTGGCCTTTGAAGAGGTCCAAAGGCCATTCCCCAAAAGCTAAACCATATGGAAAAAATGAATAAAGAATAGCAGCAGGCAGCCTCTCTGTTTCGCTCTGTTTCGCTCTGTTTCGCTCTGTTTCTCTCTGTCCCATCGTGCTTGTCCTTATCTGCAATGACTAAAAACAACCTTAACCCTCCTCCTCCAACCAAGCTGTGAAATGGGATTTAAAGTCCACCTGCTTTTATATCACCATTTGAAATGGGTCAGGAGATTGTCAACTCCTGTTACGGGTTTGACTTTCTTGAAAGTAAATGACAGTCCAGTCCAGGAAACCCTGTGATTTGTTTGTCAGCAATGGCGACAGCAGCAAGTCAGTTGCTGGCAAAGTTTGGTGGCTTAGAGTTTACTTGAAACTTAAAACCCCTTTCAACACCTTAACGTTATTACATGGTATCGTCCTCAAGTCAAAGCTTGGCCATCCACAGAAAACTTTGTTCGTTGTTGAGTTCGAACTTCTCCAACAACAAACATCGGGCTCTAAAGTTTTCTGTTCGAAGTTGGGATCAAAGTTGGCCATCTAGGGTCAAGAAATCTTAAAAGACCTCGTACTAATGGAGATGTGAGATTCCTCTTCCAGCAAGGTCCATTCGAAACTCACAGCTTCTTTGTTCGACATTCAAGGCTCATGAGACCTGTAGAACCCTTTAACAAAGTACTCCCTCTATTCAACATTTCAATCACTTTCGGACTATACTAGGCTCACAACTTCTTTGAGATTCTATTAACATGACTAAGTTAAGAGCAGGATTCTAATACAACATTAGAATTCCTCTCTCAATAATCTTCAACAAGGTTCAACCCCTTTTAGTCACATTCCCAAGATTCAATTTAGCCCATACTGAAATATTTCATTTTTATTGGACTATTGGTTTAGACAATATTTTTGAAATGAAGCTTAATTTGATATATATATATATATATATATAATTGGTGTGGGAGAAGAAAAATGGAGCAGTTGGGGAGGAGCGGCCGAGAGAGTGAAAATAGGATCAATGCACAAAAGCTCAATAAATATCTTCAATTTGGACCATTTCCACCGCTCCTAACTTCCTCCACTCCCTTTAATTACAGACTCCTCCTCCTTCACTCCCTTCCACCGCCGCCATGGACTTGGAATCCCCACTTCCCTCCTCTCCTTCAAACTCGCACCACCGCCATCCGCCCCCTCGCCGGCAGCCAGGAGGGTGGCGCGCCGTCAAATACATCATCGGTAACACAAAACACTTCAACAACACAACAAGCTCCTCTGTATTTTTCCTTTGGTTTTTAATGCATCTTCTTCTTCTTCTTCTTAAGGGAACGAGTCGTTTGAGAAGCTGTCATCCATGAGTCTGATCTCCAATATCACTGTATATCTCAGCACCAAATACAATCTCAACGGCATTTATGTGGTCAATGTGGTTAACATTTGGAGTGGCACCTCCAATATTGCCACTTTGGCCGGCGCTTTCATCGCCGATACTTGCCTTGGCCGCTACCGCACCCTCCTCTACGGCTCCATTGCATCATTATTGGTATTATCAACATACCCTTTTGAATTCATCAACATTTATGCAATTCTTTTGATTTCAAATTCGTTTTCATTAGGGAATGGGGGCTGTTACGCTCACTGCAATCTTCCGCCAGCTCAGACCTTCTTCTTGCAATGCTCAAAATCCCGACCATTGCCCACAGCCACATTTATGGCAGCTCCTCGTTCTCTTCACTGGTCTCGGTCTGTTATCCATCGGCGCCGGTGGCATTCGTCCCTGCAACGTCGCATTCGGAGCCGATCAATTCGACACCACCACAGAAAAGGGAAAGTCCCAATTAGAAAGCTTCTTTAATTGGTGGTATCTCTCTTTCACCGTTGCTCTGCTTATAGCCCTCACCGGTGTTGTTTATGTTCAAACAAATATAAGTTGGACCCTCGGATTCGCCATACCCACCATGTGTTTCTTCTTCTCCATCACGATTTTCTTGTTGGGTCGCCATACTTACATCATGGCCGAGCCCAGAGGAAGCATGTTTTCTGATATGGCTCGTGTCATTATCTCTGCTTGTAGAAAACGAAGATACTCTGTTTCGTCTTACTCGTTTTATGACCCATCAATGGCGGATTCTTCCCATGAGGAAAAGCTTGTTCATACAGAGAGATTCAAATGGCTGGATAAAGCTGCGATTATAGTGAACCCAGATGAAGAATTGGATGAACAGGGGAAACCCAAGAATCCATGGAGGTTATGCAGTTTACAGCAGGTGGAAGGATTCAAATGCCTTGTGTCCATTATTCCCATTTGGATATCAGGAATTGGGTGTTTTGTAGTGTTCAATCAACCAAACACATTTGGAATTCTTCAAGCTTTGCAATCAAACAGATCAATCGGAACCCATTTCAAATTCCCACCCGGCTGGATGCATCTGGCCGGAATGATTTCTCTATCAATATGGATCATAATCTACGAGAGGGTTTTCATCAAAATGGCAAAGAAAATCACCGGAAAAGAGAGAAGACTTACAATGAAACAGAGGATCACGATAGGGATAGTGGTGTCGATTGTGTGCATGGTCGTCTCCGGCATTGTCGAGAGATATCGACGGGAGGCTGCTTTGAGAAACGGGTCATTCATTTCACCGATAAGCTTCGCATTCCTGTTGCCGCAGCACGCTCTTACTGGTTTAATGGAGGCTTTTGCGTTGGTAGCCATTATGGAGTTCTTCACGATGCATATGCCAGAGCATATGAGAACGGTTGCAGGGGCCATCTTCTTCCTCACGCTCTCTGTTGCGAGCTATTTGAGCTCTTTAATAGTTAATCTGATACAGACTGTGAGCGGTGAATTTGCAGAATCGGCATGGGTAGGGGGTCATGACTTGAACGAGAATAGGCTCGATTACTACTATTTCACGATCGCCATTGTCGGAGCTCTGAATCTGCTGTACTTCGTGTTGTTTGCAAGCCGTTTTGTGACGAGTTATGATAATAAAGTGAAATTGATGGAAGATTTGAATCGGATTGATTTGTAAATGCGTGAGAAACAGGGCGCGTCATGCCAATATTGGGTTCTTAGTTGCACATTACTCTTCCGTAGTTTACCTTTGTACAGAAATGTTAGGATTTTGTTTATATAGCTTTTATTTATTATAATTAATTAAATAAACCTTTTAGTTTTTTTTTTTTTTTTTTTTTTTTTTTTTTT